AGCCTCTAGGAGCAGCGCCTTCAGGATCCACCACAGCCTTTGAGAGGAAGACCTGCTCTTCCCAGATGGCCCCCAGACACTGACTGCACACAGGGTTACTAAGGCATCCATGTGTCACCTTGGGTCTGCCTTCTCCTTCTTTGTCATTCACAGGATCTCCTCCTTTGTCATCTCCTCACATCCAATAATCCTAACTCCATCCAGCATCTGATCACTGGAGGGCCTGAACTCATGCACCCAGAGGTGGCAACATCACCTTCTCTCGGCCTCCACCCATTCCTGAGCTCTAAACCCTAGCCTCCAGTATCACAGGATGGTGTAGTCCATTTCAGAAGCCATCCCTGGCCTTTTTCATTTCCTGATCTCGCAAGTCAGAACAATTCTCTCTCTATCATCTGTACTCTATGAACTTTGTTTATTTTCCTAGTGCAGCTGCAGCATCATGAAAACGTCCCTCCAGTCCCCCACTCAAGCAGTGCTAGGTTGCCCTAGAGGGGTCGCCAGTGTCTTAAGTCACTGTGACATCCCCAGTACTTATCACAGGGCCAAGTCAGTGGAGGTGGTGATACAAGAGGAATGAAGGAATGCTATTCCCTGCAAGCTGTTACAGACAAGATGAAGGGATTATTGCTTCTTTAAGCAACGGGCCTCTCCTGCCTTCCACCAAACCACAGCTTGGAGTTAATAAGCATCTGCTGGGGAAGTGGTGGGCAGCCCCTCTGGATGGAGGTGTCTTCAACTCAGAAACTCAGAAAGGACAAAGCTTGCTTGCATCCACCCAACAATGTGGACAGCTCTGGAAGGGGCATCCTGAGCAGTGACTCCCCAGGCCAGTTCCTGGTTCATACCATGAAGGCCAGACTGTGCTGTGAGTGCCTGAGCAGGGAGCCTTCAAGTAGTGCATGCCCGACTCGACTCCAGGAGGTGGGAGAAGACTGGGGGAGGCAAGCGTGGCACCCGCTGCTAGGATGCGGCAGGCAGCCAGGAAGCCAGGCAGGCTCCAAATGAGTAACTGCAGATTCTTTCCTGCCTCGCCTGTCATCACTGGGAAAAGCAAGTGACTCTCTCTCTCTCTTTCCCCCTACACCCCTGCACCCCTCGGATTCCTGCATCCAGAAGGGAGGTGGGGCTTGGGCCAGAGACTGGAGACTGGTTCGAGGGATCCAGGAGGAGAAACCTCAGAACAGAATACTCCTGGAGAAATTCACTCAAGAGGACAGGAGGGAGCAAAGGGCAGGAGGTGGCTGCAGCCCCCTTCCCAATCCTGGCAAAGGCCAACTCCAGAGGAACTCGGGCTTCAGACAGGGTGGGGGATGGGAAGTGGAGATTCCAGTCTCTGCTTCCCACACCCTCAAGTAGTCTGTCTCCCTGCTCCCCACCCCCACACACCTCCAGTTTCTGATATCCCTCCCCAACCCAAGAAGCTTCCCCAGACCATCAGGCAGGTGAAAGGATGGTTTCATCAGTTCCCAAGGACTCCCCAGGAGTAGGCCCCTGGGAGACCTCTCAGTGCCTCAGGACATAGACCTGGACTTGCAGGAACAACAGATCAAAACAAGGTCAAACTGACTCGTGGTTGCATTTTTCAGGTTTTTGTTTGTTTTTGCTACTTTCCCTTTCCTGCGCCTTCTTTCACTTCTGAAGTTGTTTTGTGGCTTTTGCTAGGTAAGGAAGGGTGGGTCTCCCAGGAGAACAATTCTGAAAGAACAAAGAAGTAATTTTCATTGTAAAGAATCTGCACTATTATTCCTTAGTCACCCGCTTCCTTCCTGGGAGTCTGAGGACTGCAAGGGCATCCAGGGGCCCTGCCAGTCACTCTTATTGCCACCAGCCTGCCCGCATAGCCCTCCGGCTAAGGAGGGGGTGTCGTGTGGACACCCTCCAGGAGAGAGGAGAGCAGCCACTCCCAGCTGGGAGCTGTCAGATTTCCACCCCTCCTCCATTTTCCCAGGATTTCCCTGGTGGCTCTAATGGTAAAGCATGTGCCTACAATGTGAGAGACCTGGGTTCAATCCCTGAGTTGGGAAGATCCTCTGGAAGAGGAAACAGCAACCCACTCTAGTACTGTTGCCTGGAAAATCCCATGGACGGAGGAGCGTGGTAGGCTACAGTCCATGGGGCCGCAAAGAATCGGACACGTCTGAGTGACTTCACTTTCACTTCCATTTCCCCCCCTCCCCCTTCTGCCCCCATTCTGGGCCTCACCAAGAGTCACTTGGCTAAGTGGGGTCTTTGTTTTTTGTTGTTGTTGTTGTCTGGTTGCTAAGTCACATTTGACTCTTCTGCCACCCCATGGACTGTAGCCCACCAGGCTCCCCTGTCCATGGGATTTTCCAGGCAAGAATACTGGAATGGATTGCCATTTCCTTCTCCTGAGGATCTTCCCAACCCAGGAATCAAATCCGTGTCCCCTGCACGTGTCTCCTGCATTGCAGGTGGATTCTTTACCACTGAGCCACCAGGGAAGCCCCAAGTGGGGTCTGGCTGACTCCCTCGTATTCCCCAATCCTCAGCCCCCTCAAATGCACTCTCAAATACCCAAGCTATCTGTCCTCAGAGAGAGCAGAACTTCAGCAGGCCAAAGGACATGCCTTAATTGTGGGACTTCATCAGCATTATTCTGCAGATGATCAGGTGGGGGGTGTATGTGTGTGTGTAGAATGGGAAAGGGTTTATGAGATCCAAAGCTCATGGATTTGCCATTCCCATCTAGGACTCCTGGGGCACTGTGCCAGCAGAGGTGACACTCCAGAATGAGGACAAATTCCACTGCCCTGCTAGAGAACTGAGGCTTGAGTGGGGGTACTGGCTGGGCACAGGGGGAGGCAAGGACCGCTGACTCCTGAGCCTAATCTGGCCTCCAGAAGTGAGAATGGCTGAGGAGATGGTTGGTGACTCATTCTTCAAACACTTCCTCCCGGGAGGAATTGAGTCCAAGCCCCAGAATGGACAGGGCAAATGCATCTCCACAGTTCTCTAGTCTGGGGAAGTGCTTCTGTCCTGGCTAACTAATTATATTTCCATAGTTTAATATTTTATATTAGTTTATATATTTATAATAGTTTATATTTAATAGTTATATTAAATATAACTGATTATATTTCCACTGGAAGGAGCTGGAAATCTAGGGGGAGTACAATAGCTTCCCAGGTCCTTCCCAGGCAAGAGATGCTGCTGACTTATCCATCTCTGTGCCCTGGTGCAGAGAACAGAGTCTGGCACATAGCAAACTATTAATGAATGTGAGAGGAACGGAGGATGGGAGGGAAGAAGTGTAGAGAGAGAGGGAGGAGAAAGAGTAGAAGATGAGTAGACATGGAAGGGAAGAAGGAAAGGGAGGGAGGGAGAGAGAAAGCAAATGCTAGCATCCAATTAAGCTGAAATCGAGGAGGGGCTGGACGCTCATCCTTTCCTGGCTTTCCCTTCTCTCTCTATAACTCCATCCTGCTCCATCAGTGGCCAGAGTTCCCCGCGCTGTAGGGAGGAAAACCCCAGTGGGTCCGCAGGGAACTCCGTCGCACCTGCGGGTCACCCAGCGCCTGGAATAGCACCTCCTTCAAACTGCCGCATATCCCGCAGGCGGCCAGGGATGCGCAGCCCTTTCCGCCTCTCCAGAGAACACCGCCCTCCCCCAACTCCCTATCATAGTCACTCACCAGCCACCCTACCCTACTGCCACCACCGCCACCTCCAGCCTCGATCGCACCTTCTAGAACCCTTGGAAAGAGGGCAAGGCAGCCACCTGAATTTGGTCTACAAGAAGGAGACCTTTCAGGGCGCTACAAGAAGACCTTTCAGGGCGTCAATGAACCTGCGCCTCATTCTAAGGAAGAATAAACCAAGCCCTGAAGATGCACGGTGGAGACTGGATGGTCCGATGTCAGCCACAGAATCTTGGAAGCGAGGCATCAGAGGCAGGCCGCCCAGGTCCGGGGGTTTCTCTGTACCTCGGTTTCCCAAGCTGTAACATAGAGAAGGCGGGAGGAGGAGGACTCCGATTGTTTCAGGTCCGATGCGCAGGTTCTGGACTAGCGCGCTGGGGAACAAACCTTCCCTCTCCGCGCGATGGCGCTAGAACTTAGGTTCTGCCTTCTTTCGGAGATGCTCCGGCCGAGACAAGCGAGGGCGCGGACATGCCATCCTTCCTGAAGCACTACCCTCGACCGGTCATGAGTGATCCGAGAGCACAGCCGGTATCGAGCGCGCCCTGCTAGGTCGCCAGGGCTCGAGGAAGGCACCAGAGATCAAAGAATCGGGCCTCACTCGCGCCCTAACTTCCCTTCGTGTGGCCTCTCCCGCGCGAGGGATGAGTTGGGGCGATTGAAAATGGATCAAACAGTGAGCCCCACTTATCTGGGGCACTTGCAGCCTAGGACCTTAAGCAAGTCTCGGCCTTCAGCCTGGGGGATCAGAAGTCACGTTTTGTCTTGTAGTCCGTCCCGCCTGCACCTACCCTCTGAGATGCAGAAGTGAAAAATGGGGAGATTGGGAGGCCTCCTAGAGCAGGTGACTCTGAAGGTGAAAGAACAGGGCGCCCTGGGGTGGGGCTCAAGGGGCTTGCGGGAGTGGGAGATCGCAGTCAGGCTCTTGGAAACGTCTTGAGCCAAGCACAAGAAGAATGGGGCAGGTTGGGCTCTCGGGATTCCCGGGGATGCGGTCCCAAGGGACGAAGGTCTACCCACACCTCGCGGTTGAGGACTGAAGTGTGAGACTGGCGGGGGGAGCGCGCAGACTCCCTACTAGCCGGGGAGCCCCCCGGCCCCTCCCCACACCTGCGCGGCCGCCCTGCCTCTGCCAAGCCCATTGGCTAGACCCGCCGCCCGTCAGACGAGCCCCCAGGGCCCGCCCCCGCCCCCGCCCCCGCCCGGAGCAGCGCCTCACAGCGCCCGGGCCACCTAGGCAGCGCCACTCTGTCAGGCTCCCCGCCGTCGGCCGCGTGGTGCGCCTCCTGCCTGCCAGTTACCGGCGCGGGGCCGCCCGCCGCCGGCTCCGGGCGGACCATGCGCCCGACAAGCCCGCCGCCCGCCCGCTGGCTCTGCGTGCTGACCGGCGCCCTCGTCTGCGTCCTCGGCCCCGCAGTGAGTGTCCGCCGGGCAGCCCCGAGTCCCGGTACCTGGGGGTGGAGCAGGGGTGACGGGAGCCCGGCCGTGTGCTCACGTCTGTGTGGAGGGGGTAAGGGGCGCGGAGCATGCGGTCTCGTCTTCGCTGCGCCTGAGACTGGGTCTAGACCCGAGGGCGGGGTAGGGTCTCCCTCGTGCCAGTCCCTTCCTGCGCAGCCTGGAGCCGGTTCTGCGTCAGAATCTGGGACACTCGTAGAGGGGCGGCGGGAAAGAGCTGGCTCCAAACTTGCCTTGCGTGTAATGGCTGTGTGTTGGCCAAGTCCGTGAATGGAGGGTCGGGGACTGCGGGCCACTGAAATGGAAGGCTGGTAGGCAGTAGGTTAGGGGGAGGCTGTGAGGGTCGTCGTTGTGTGCTGTGCCTGCCGGGAGGTGTCTGTGGGGCATTAAGTTACTTGTAGGAGTGACATTCAGCAGCAGAACAAGCTCTGAGCCCCCGGGGAAGGGGCTTTGGGGATCAGGTGACTGGCAGGCAGACCCTTCCTGTGCCCTCCCACTGAGCAAAGTTGAAAGATACGGAGCCCAAGGTGGAAGGTGGTGGGCAATGAGGATTTGGGGTGGTTTATTGGAGAAGGCCAGACATGTGCATGGGAAGGGAGCAAACAACCCAGAAGCAGTGGCCACCCTCTTCCTTGCATTTCTGCTTCATCTCCACATGGGTATGTATGTGTGCCCCTAGTACCCACCCATGTGCCCCATGTGTGGGTGTGCCCATGTGTGTGCCTAGTGGAGGTGGGAGGCACTCACCTGGGCGCAGGGCAGATTCTGACTGAGGCAGAAGATGCATGGGTCATCTTCCTGTAAGATCAGGGAAGACCTGAAGACTACCCAAGCCCATTTTACAGATGGGCAAAGTGAGGCCCAAAGATATCAGAGCCACACCTGTCCCCCACCCCTCAGATCTGGACTGAAGATGATTTCTTTCTATCCCTCCCCTGGAACTTGAGGAATCTGTGGTTGCTGCTTGGGCAGGGCCTAAAACCTGTGGGTTCCAGGTCTGGCACCAGCTCCAGGTTGGCTGGTGAATGGATGGAGTATATGGGCCATCTATAGTCTCTTCTGTCCCTTGAGTATCTCCCTGACCATCACCTCCACCAGGGCAGGGATCTCTGTTTCCATCTCGCTAATGTGCTGCACACTTGGGCTGGGATGCTCATTGCTTGTCCTGGAAGCAGACCTTATGACAGTTGGCATAATTCTTCTCTTAGTGATAGCTATGGTGAGACCCACCTCCTGAGCTCTCAAAGCCCCACCAAGTTCTGGCCCTCAAGGCATACTCTGGCAACACTTACAGCCTCTCAGGGTCACGGAGCTTCCAGGCCTCACCAGCAACCCTCTGGCTCTCCCACTCCTGAGCTCTGACCACTCAAATTTTCCACAGATGAGCCAGGAATCTTGGGACCACCACTGGCACCACATTCTCCCATTGCTGGAGGCTTCTCAGCCTCGGGGCAGACTGGTTTTAGTGGGGTCCCCTCTCCAGCAACATCTGCCCCCCACCTCCTGAGACAGTTCAAGCCTGGCTCTTGCCATGTCTACCCTCTCCTGTCTTTCCCCATCTTATTTGGTTAGTTCCCAACTCCAGCTCCTCCTCCAGACAGCCTTCCCTGATTGTTCTAACCCACTGTGCCCTTCCCACTCTGACCTCACTCTTCAGCCCTAGCCCGGGCCCTTTTGACCATCCCATGGGATCAAGGCCTAAGGTCTCTCACCCTCCCATGTCCCCTACAGCCCAGTGCAGGGCTGGGCCCGCAGAGGGAGGAGAACGGACTCACCCAGGAGTCGGTGAGGGCAGGATGGAATGAGGGGCCCCTACTTTCCTCTCTACTTCTCCCTTCTCCACACAAGCCACCACTTGCTCCCACGCCATATAGACACTGGGCAATCCTGCTTCAGCCTGACTCAGGGAAGCGGGGTAGTGTGTTATCAGAGTCATAAAATGGCAGCTGCAAAGTTCAGTTTGAAGACCCAAGGCCGTTTCACTCCTGTTTATGGAGCCCTGACCTCAGCCTGGGAAGAGGAAATTTCTGAACAGGGAAGCAAAAAAAGGAAAGAAAGTGTCTCAGAAGAGGAAGTCTTCCCCAAGGCCACCCTTCAAGCTTTCCACTGCCCCTACCCACTGGAGAGTAGGCACAGGAGCTCCTCATTGGTAGCAGAACTGCTCAGGCCAATGCCCAGCCCAAGGGCAGAGACAGGAGGTGTCATAGAGAAGGGGCAGGCCCATGCCCTGCCCTGGGAAGATTCTCAGCTGGTAGCAGAGAGCAGAGCCAGTGACCCAGGAGAACCAGCCCAGCCAGATGTGGGGTGCAGCCTTCCAGAACTGGGGCAATGGTCACTCAGAGGAGCAGTCAGGGAAAGCTGCCTGGAGGAGACAGGGTAGTTCCTAAAGAGTTTGGCAAAATGATCCAGTCTTCCACCTGAGACTATGAGACAGCCTCTGTTGGCAGGACCAATGGGCCTTTCCCCAGAAGGAGGAGGAACCCCTCAGCTCCCCCCTACCCTGCCACCCAGAGGCTGGGTTGGCCCAGGGATTCAGAGAGGCCTGGTTCCTCCGACTTCTCTCTGAGGCTCACTGGCCATCTCCTGAAAGCTTCACCTTGCCATGGGCATCCTGCCCCCGCCATCTGCTTCCAGCTGCTCCAGGAGCTTCCATGGCTACCCAGCAGTCCTGGCCCCTAGCCAGCCACCTGTGGCGTTTAGGAAACACGGCTACAGAGGGGTCAAGTCTCCCTCTTAAATCAAGTGACAGTGTCAGTTAGGCCTGCCCAAGGCTCCCAGGGGTTGGTGGGGCTGTGCTGGAAGATCAGGCTCCCCCCGAGGTTTCCACCTTCCCATGCTGCCCTGACATCCATCTTTCCTGACATTTCTAGAACTTTCATGATGAGTAGCCTGAGCTGTGTCCTCAGCGCACTCCATGGCCATGGCCAGTTGACCTGGAGAACATGTTTCCTCTCTGTGGAAGGGCCTCTATTTCCTCATCACAAAAAGGAGTGTGAGAACCCTTGGCCCAATATGCAGGGGAAATGGGAAGAGAGGCCAGCTCCACCTTGGCTGGAGCCAAGTCTTCCCTACCCAACCCCATCCCACCCCATCTCACCCCAGCCTCACAGCTGACTATGAAAAGGGATTGGCCTTCCAGTCAGGACTTCTGTGGTAGTTGAAGGATATGGAAGTGCTGTGTGAACTGTGTGACAGATTGTTCCTTCCTCTGGATCCCCAGCCTGGGAGCCTCACGGACCCTTCTTCAGCTCTCTCTTGTCCCCCTTGCTCAGGGGTTTCCAGGGAAGGCAGGAGTCCTGGGCACAGGGGGTGGTGTGTCCTCACGGGTGGCCAAACAATATGGGGCATGAGGTTCCAGGCCCAGGCAGGTGACAAGCCCTCTTAGGGAGGACTGGATGATGGGCCCTTCTGCATGGTGGCAGCCTCATGGCAATCCAGCCTGAGGAGCCTGCCACTTACAGGGGCTCCTCACTGTGCCCCTCTGGCTGTGGATGCAGGAATGGGGTCTGGGGACTAAACAAAGCCTCATCCCTTCCTCCTTGCTCCATCTTCTCAACCTCCTAGACTCTGCCCTTTCCTGTCTGACCTCCCCAACACAAAGCTGTTCTCACTGTACCAAGGAAAATGTGCAGTGTGTGCAAACTCGCACATGCCTTAGATGTATTTCAGAAGAAAAAGAAATACAATCTAATCTCTCTGCCACATTATGGGTTTTTTAAAAACTTTTATTGTGAACATTTTCAAGCATATAAAAAAATGTAGAGCAAGTAGTATAATGAACATGGAAATGCCTGTTTCCGGGAGTGATGTCACCAAAACAGCAGTACAGGAATTTCCAACGTTTGTCCACTCCAAACTTCTAGATTTGAAAGTTATTAACCATTAATATTTGTATCACTTGCCCTTTTGGCCGAAGTATTTGAAAATACATCATAGACCAAATTATTTAAGATGCATCTCTAAAATCAACGATATTTTCCTGTATACCATCATCACTCCTAACAAAATTAACAGGGATTCCTTAATAGCTGATATTCAATAGCCGATGTCCCCCAGTAGCATTTAATCAAGCATCATAAGATGTGTGGTGATATTATCAGGGGAGGAGGGGTGTTGCATTTACTGCAAGAAACTGTCCTGCCTGTGCCGTAATGGGACTGTACAGTGAGCTGGCAGGTGGGTGAGGGGAAGAGCAGGGGGCCTTGAGCAGGTGGGTGGGCAGCAGGCTAGACTTCACCAGACAGGGCTCAATCTTATCTGCACCCCCTCTCATGTTGTTCATGATGTGAAGGTTTGTGTCTCCCAGGAAGTGCCTCTGGCCATCTTGAAAACAAGTTCTTCCTGCCCAGGGGAGGGTAAGAGGGGTGAGGGGAGAGGAAGAGGGGAGAGGAAGAGGTCACCAGCCGACATGTCAAGGACTCATGGTTCCAGGGGCTGGTGCCCTGCTTTCTGCGGTTAATCAGACACCAACATCACCCACAGACACCATGTTTGAAATAGTGTTCTTTCTGCAGTGGTGCCCAGGATGACTTTCAAAAGACAGAGGATTGAAACCTGAGTCCCTACTGCCCCTGCTTAGCAAAGTGACTTCGTGGTAACGAAGGTAGTAAAGGCCCTCTTCGTGGTGATCCTCTGCAAAAAAACCTCAAAGGCTTCGTGGCCCTCAGTAAACCTCACAAAAAGGGCTTAACACCAAGCTGAACTCCTTTGCATTCTCCTAACAATGAGAGCCCTTATCCTGGTATCACTTTGAACTGCAGAAAGTTCTTTCTTGCCCCAGACCCAAGCTTGTGTCCCTATGTCTCCCTCTTTTTCTTACCCTCAGCCCCCCAACACAAGTTCTCACTCCATCTTCCAACTCTCTAGAGTTCAACCTTCCCCAGGATTTTTATTTTTTGGCTGTGCCACCAAAAATGTGGCATGTGGGATCTTAGTTTCCTGACTAGGGGTCAAACCTTTGC